TGCACACTGTATGGTCAGCAAGACTGTCTTAAGGGGGGACACATTTTTGGCATACATAACTCAAAACAATAAATGTATTTATTTTGATTTACTCTTTAATCCATTAAAATGTGCTAACAGTTTAGATTTGATTGTAGCAGGTTAGGGTTTCTGTCTTGAGCACTTAGAAATATATGGCAGTCACAATATTACAGTAAAATATGTATTCCTTAGACTAAAGCCAAGCTAGAAATGATGAGACCCACATGCCAGCCGAACCCCTGAACATTCTTACGCTTTCAATGACTATGGCGTATTACACAATGGAATCTTGAATCATAAACTGGACAGCACAGTGGCTAAATGGTTAACACTTCCACCTGGCAGTACTAGGGTCATTGGTTCGAATCCCAGCCATGGCACCACCTGCCTGGAGATTGCATGTTCTCCCTGTGCCTATGTGGGTTTTTCTCCGGTTTCCTCCTCCCACACTCCAAAGACATGCTGGTAGGTGAATTGGCTCCTGTCTAAATTGGACCTTAGATTGTACACCCCTTGAGGGTTAGGGACTGATGTGAATGTACAATATATATGTAAATTGATGGCGCTATATAAGTACCTGAAATTAAATAAATAAACTCAGTAAATAATTTAAAGACCAACTCCAGCCAAACATTTGATTTTGTTTCAGGTAAGGCAGGGAAGAGTTAGAACCTTGTTAAGTCTTTATTGCCATCTGTGTTCCTGTTACCCTTACTTCCCTTAAAGTGTTACTAAACCCAGGACCCTACATTCACTGTATTTGGTCTCCCACAGTACACAGAACATGGAAATGCAATTATTTTAGTAAATACAAACTGCTAAATACCTTTTCTCATCAGCAGTTGGAACAGTCTTGTGACTTCTATCAGTGTCCAGCAGAGCACAGGTTAAAGCTTGTAGGAGGCGTTTTCTTTCTGCTCTAAGAGGATGAGAATCTCTGACCTCTGTCTGGACAGTGCTGCTTGGCCCTGTGCTGATCACATGCACTCTCCCAATAAAAAAAACCCTCTCTAGCAATACACACCAAACTGAGCATGTGCAGAGTGTCTCCACACCATATGTCTTATCAGGAGATGAGAGGGACACTGAAAGAAGGGGAGGATCAGAGAAGTCAGGATCAAATAGCATTTTTACACAATGCAGAAGATTAACCCCTAAGGTTCCACAGTGAGTATAGCAAGCATGCTTCACTGCATATAAAGACTGATTTTACTGTTGTGGGTTTAGTAACACTTTAAGAACAAGACGCAAAGTTAAAAAACTCTTAAACAGGGACACAGACAAAAACAATTTTATTAGAGAGGGGATGGGTTACAAATTGCAATGTTTTAATGCTGTCATTTGAAAGTTAGGGAAAATCTTCCCAACAAGATCACACACAGAAATAAAGACATGCCCTAAATGTTAACACTTCTCTGTTTATTACAGGTACTTGTATAGCGCCATCAATTTACATATATATTGTACATTCACATCAGTCCCTAACCCTCAAGGGGCAAACAATCTAAGGTCCCTAACTTACATACATACACATCCTAGGGCCAATTTAGACAGGATCCAAGTCACCTACTAGCATGTCTTTGGAGTGTGGGAGGAAACTGGAGTACCAAGAGGAAACCCATGCAGGCACAGGGAGAACATGCAAACTCCAGGCAGGTGATGCTGTGGTTGGGATTTGAACCAATAACCCTAGTACTGCCAGGTGGAAGTGCTAACCATTTAGCCACTATGCTGCTATTTGAGACAACCAAAAAAATGGTAAAGGTAAACCTCCCCCAATCAACCCACACATAATTTGTTAGCAGGCAGGTTTTTTTTATTGTAGACATACTAAATATGTTCTGAAACAAAGTAATGCATCTACCTACCAAGAAACTACTTTAGAATGTACACTGAGCTGCACATGAACATCTAAGCATACATTCTTAGCCTGCTTCAGTGCTGTGATGAATTAAAGCAAAGGTTACAATAAAATGCAAGGTCCACCTAAACTGTCTGGGCCCCCCCTCTTTACAAATCACTTGATGTTAGCAGTTTCAAAATGAACCTGTAAAAAAAATGTTCAGTTATACTGTATACCTGTAGGCAGGTCCAGTTTACTCTTCCCTCCATAGGTGGCGCTCTCTTGCTGACTGCTGTACAGAGGGAATGGAGGGCAAGGATAACTTTTTTCCTCTGAAGCCTCTGTAGGTGTCACCAGGGGAGCAGTGGTTTGATTGGACGCTGTAACACTGGATGACCTCTGCGGCCATCTTTTGTGAGGGCAGTGCTAATAAATAGCAATGTTGCACTGCCCTGCTGCAGTTGGCATGCATTTGTGAAATGGATAGGTAAGGGACAAGGATCCATGCTATGGACAGAACATCTAGTCCTAGAGAAAGGTTCCTGAGGAGGAGGGACAGAATAGAGACACCTTTGCTGGCTCTACTACCTCTGGACTTTAACAGATAAGTTCACCTTTAGTAACATGTTACACTAATATTCAGGGTGTAACATGTAACATTTTACAGATGCACCAGCCTCCGCCCCCCCCCCCCCATCTTGCCAGGCTGCATCAATCATTCACAGTATTCTGTGAATGGGAAAAAAACAAGTGCACTGAGCTTCCTATCATTGCGTAACTGCCTGCCCATATCGGAGGTACAGGCAGACAGATACATAGACAGTCTGCAGGACCGTGGCATTACACCCATGATCTGCTGATCGTAGGTGCAGTGCCTTACAGGCTCCTGTATTTATTATTTTGTTTTTGTAAAGGTGAACTTATCCTTTATAGCGGGTTCACATATATGTGGATTGGATGCGGTTTGAACTGCATCCAATCTGCATGAGATATGAAAAAGCATTGCTTCCTATGGTGCCTGTTCATATACATCGAGGGCACTTGCAGTGCAAATTCAGTGCGGAATGAAAAAGAGTCATGTCCGATTTCTGAGCAGTGCGGTCCAAGTCAGGTGCAGATTAAAGGATCATTGGCCTCTAAGGGAACCGCTTCTGCTTCGCAGAGTTTGTGAACATGATTTCAGGCCAGTTTTCTCTCTCCTGATCCTGATGTAAACCTGACCTGATCTTGATCTAAACCTGACCTGAATGGCTGAACAGCTACTGTGTCAAATAGCTGAGAAAACGGAGATTTAATTTGCACAGAATATGTGTGAATCCGCACAAAGTTGGTGATAAGGATTGGCCGTTGGTCTGTTTGTGACGGGAGTCACTTTGGGTGGGGGGTCTATTGAACCCAGCTCACTTTGGAGAGGTGGGGAGACCCCTGTGTCAGCTCCCCATATCCCTCTTATGTGTAAATCACCCTGTGCCTGTTAGGGGTACAGGGTGATCTGTCCTAATATTGTGTGGGCTTTGTCTCAGACTGTATAGACATGTTTAGGTGATAGGTGGGGTGGGGGTTGTTGATTGTTTAATGTTATGTGGCTGCATTCCATTGTTTGTCTGGCGTGGGAGTAAACTATTATGGGATGTATGTGTTTATGTGTATTAGCTTAGTGGGGGGGGGGGGGGTGTCCAGCAGCCCTCCCTCCTGATGGGACTGTCTGCTGGTGTGAATTTGAATACCTGTGTGTCTCTTGTTACTGAATGTAGATTGCCCCGCCCTGTGTCATTATGCGGGGGGGGGATTTCCCCCTGAGTGTATATATCTTGTATCTGTGTTCAAATAAAGTAGTCTACCTCTGGTTTACTCCAAATCTGGTGTTGTCTGGATCTTGGGGTAACAATAGCCAGATTCACTGGTCTCGTGTTCCAGAGCCTGAAAAGCAGCTTCTTGACAGAAATACTTAGTCGTGGGTGTCTGGGGTCCATTACAACCGCCCTGTGCCACTTATACCACCAACCTTCCAAACAGCCACCCCCCCTTAACCAGATGCTGTTCCTGTCATATAAGCCTCTTTTTAAAATGACACTTTAAGTGCTGGGACTATTCCACTGTGCCAATAACATTGTGAGAGTTTCAGAACCTGACGCCTCTGTCAGTGAGACGTGGTTACCAACATTATCTAGGCTGTTAGGGCTTGTTCACACTAAATTTCTCTTGACTAAAATTCTTAACAAACGCTCCTATAGCATTAGTATATGCATTAGCCTGGCATTAATGAGATTTACAATTGGTGTTAGACAGGCGTTAATGAGATTTAGTATTGGCATTAGACAGGCGTCAATGAGCTTTAGTATGGGTGTTAAACCAGCATTAAAGAGATTTAACATGGGCGTTAGACTGGCATTTTACAAGCTTTAAAAACAGTTAAACACCCTATGTGCAGCTTTAACATGTTTTAAAAGCATTTTGCAAGCATTAAAACCTCAACACAAATGCCTATAATAAACTGTAATGTTATTACCATGCCAAAACTGCACTGCAAACACTTTCCAGAGTGTTTGAGGAGCATCACCATAGTTTTGAATGGGAGGCATTGAAAGGCTTCAAACTCCTTCCAAACTTGACACGAGGCTTCCATTTTGAAGAGACATAACACCAACATTCATACAACCAAAAAAAAGAATGCCGCTCTGACCAGCCCATGGAGTCTGGTATATGGAATGGCCTTAGCCGCTGCTCCGGCCATGCCCTCTGATGCGTAACGCTCAACCCACCAGGGCTTGACACGACGCTAACGCTTCATGTTTTGATAATGTGAACAGCACTGTGTTCTGTCCATAGTACCCTTTGCATGGTGTTTAACCACTTAACTACCGGGCACTTATAGCCCCTTCCTACCCAGGTCAATTGTCGCACTTTGAATGACAATTGCATGGTCACGATGCAACACTGTACCAATATGAAATTTTTATAATTTTTTTGAGACTGATAGAGCTTTCTTTTGGTGGTATTTAATCACCTCTGGGTTTTTTCTATTTTTTGCTAAACAAACCAAAAACAACTGAAAATTTGGGAAAACATTTTTTTTCTTAGTTTCTGTTAAAAAATTTTGTAAATCAGTGATTTTTCTCCTTCACTGATGTGCGCTAATGAGGCTGCACTGATATGCAATGATAGGCGGCACTGATGAGGAGGCACTAGTAGGTGGCACTGATGGGCATTGACAGGCATCACTGATGGGCACTGAAAGGCAGCACTCATATATGGCACTAATAGGCGGCACTGATAAGTGGCACTTATATGCGGCACTGACTGGCAGAGATAGGCGGCACTGATTAGCAGCACTCATAAGCAGCACTGACTGGCACTGATAGGTGGCACTGACTGGCAGTGATAGTTGGCACTGAAAGGAAGCTCAGATGGGCACTGATATGTGGCATTGATGTGCACTGGTATGCACTGATATGTGACATTGATGTGGCCCTGATGGGCACTGGCAGGTGGCATTGATGGGCACTTACAGGTGGCATTGATGGACACTGACAGGTGGCACTGATGGGGCTACACTGATCATGAGGGCACACTGATCATCAGTTCCCTGATGATCAGTGTACATGTCCCCTCTGAGTAATGCCAATTACCGGCTCTCCTCTCCTCACGAGCTGTCAGCGCGTGACAGCTTGTGATGAGAGGAATGCCGATAACCGGCATTTCCTTATTTACATGCAATCAGCTGTGATTAGACATAGCTGATCACATGACAGAACCAACGTCTTCGGCTCTTTCCGTTGATTGGTGATCTGCTGTGTCCCAGGGACACAGCGCACCACCAATCGCCGTGCTGCGTGCATGCGCAGTTATAATGGGAGGATGTCATATGACGTCCTCCCAAAACGAGAGAACCGCCTTGCGCCCGTCATTACCTTATATGGCGGGCGGAAGGTGGTTAAGGAGCGCTAAAAATGCCCCTCAAATGCCTGCTTTCAATGAGAGTGTGAACTAGGCCTTAAGCAAATACCTTGCTGCTGTTCTGCACCTGTTATTTGCTACTTCCACTTAACCAAAAAATAAATGTGCCACTCTACTTGGTCTCTGTGTGCCTTTTCTCCACCAGCCCCTATGCCCCGCCCACATACTTACCTTGCTCCTATCTTCCACCCATAGTGACTAAGCAAGAATGACATCACATTTCTTTTGGCTAGATCTTGGAGAATACAGAGTAATCCCAAAAAGACATTCTTGCAATGAGCTAGAGCAGGGGTCTCCAAACTTTCTAAAGAAAGGGCCAGTTTACTGTCCTTCAGACTTTAGGGGGCCAGACAGTGCCCAGTGGGAGAAAACAATGCCCAATCTTTGGTTTTAGGGGGAAAGATAGTTGGTGTCAGGAATAGTGCCCCATTTTTGTTGTCAGTGGAAGGAATTATGTCCCATTGTTGGTATTCGTGGCAGGAATTATACCCCATTGTTGATGGCAGTGGCAGGAATGATTCCTCAAGGGCCGGATAAAGGCAAGCAAAGGGCCACAGTTTGGAGACCACTGAGCTAGAGTGTCTGTGGATTTTGCATTCCCCAGGAAACTTCCTGGAAAGACGGTGACATCATGCCTAGTGATGCAGAAAACGAGGATAATAAGCTTTTTCTGTATAGATTCTTTTTGGAGCTACTAACATTAGGTTATTTTCAAAGGTAGAGAGGTCACTAACAGTATATTTGACTGTATCCTGCACGACAGGATGCAGAGACTGATCAGATTGAATGATTTTAATGCAGATTTTTTTTTATTTCTGGTAACCAGGTCACTTTAAATGAGCATGTGCTTACATGAGTTTTATACCAGCAGAATGACTTTGCGAAATTACATGACCCCCCTCTGTCTGATATAGTATTAAAAGAATGAGTCATCCAAAACAGATCCTGCAAGTCTCAGACTGAAGCTGGGAAAGCAGGCTGTACATCTCTAGCAGTGAGAATTGTATACCATTATTAATCTCAAGTGGAGGTTTTGTAGCAAGTAAGATCACAATACAAACCAACTGAAGTTTTCCAGTCATCTCTATATGAAGCCTTCCACAGATATCCAAAGATTGCACGACCAGCTGAACTAATATTTTGTATCTATATCAAGGGCAGCAGGGATCCTGGTTACTGATGCATAGTGTATATCTATGGAAGATTGCAGATGGACAGCCCAGGGATTGGCATGTACGTATATCAAAGAGCAGTGTAGACACATTTGGACTGAAATTCAGGTTGAGGACCCATGGATACAAAAAACGGCAACTGCCCCAACCTGTAGCTGCCCTTTGCAGCAAGAAGGGCGATGCATGTCAAACAGCAACAAAAAATTCCCAGCTCAACTTACCAACCAGCCTGCAACCAACCAAATTATTCTAATAGCCTTGTCTAACAGTTCACATTAAAAACAGGGGTTTCGTTTACATACATTTGCAAATACATGCGTATTACAGGCGTAAGCTGCAATTCATGGCACCCCAGTATCTGTAGTTCCTAACCAAAAAAGTTAGAGAGTCTCCATTTTAGAAGCACACATATAATAATGGATAGATTGAGGGAATGGTGAGCCTGGAGGGAGCCCACCTCTCCTTAAAGGCATAGGGGCGCACTGGACACCCAGCATATAGCACAATGGTGTCCAGTGCGCCCCCTCACCAATATATCAACAATACAAACAAAGGGCAACTGCCATACCTCCCAACTTTTGAACATCAGAATGAGAGACACTTGAGGAAAGAAGTGAACTGCAGTGCACCATGGCAAAAATGGGTGGGACCAAATGCTTAACAGTGGGAGGAGCCTAAGGGGCATGGTTGAACAAAACCCAGGATTTATTGTACCTTTAAAATATGCTTTGATTGTTGTGCCATAAGCAAGAGTCTCACAGATACAAACCCCAGCACAATCATTTAAAATAAATTATGTGTTTCAGGGGCTCTGCCCACTTTTAAAAAACACCTGCTCATAGGGAAACAGCTGGCATTTATACAGTGGCAACCGGGAAAAAGGTGGCAAGGGGCAGGACCAATTGGAACTACTGCATGTGCACCTGCAGTGGTATATACTTCAGGTTTATTATACACCGCTGCGGGTGCACATCTAGTAGCTCCAATTGGTCCTGCCCCTTATTACCGTCTTCCCTGGCCAGCAATGTATAAATGCCGGCTGTTTGTCTATGCAGTGCTGGCTTGACAAAGGGGGCGGAGCCCTTGAAACGTGCTTCATCCCACCCATCCGTAACATCACAGTTTGGAGTTGACAGCTGCACGCCCTCTCTCATTGCAGCCACTGGCTTGCCCGCCAATCCCTGGCTGTGCTAGATGTTCACACTGCTACAGGTCCTGCTCAGCTGGAAGTTATCAGATAAAGAATAGATTGAGTAATGCGGGACAAAGCCCCTGTACACCGGGATCACGGGACAAAAGTGAAAATGTGGGAAAGTTCCAATCTGTTGGGAGGTGTGAACTGTCCTAACCTAAAAACTGGCCTTTGCAGCAAGGAGCACATGGAAGTGTGACGCATGTCAAACAGCAGCAAAGAAAAATTCCAAGCTCAACTTACCAACCAGCCTACAACTAAATTATCCTAACAGTTCATGTTAAAAATAGGGGTTTAGTGTGCACACATTTGCAAATACATGAGTAAGCTGCAGAGCCACTTCACGGCACCCCAGTATCTGCAGTACCTAACTCTATAAATTTTGGGAGCCTCCATAGTAGAAGCACATGTATAACAATGGACACAACTGCCCCATCCTATAACTGGCCTTTGCAGCAAGAAGCACATGGAAGAAGCACGTGGACGCATGTCAAACAACTCATGCAAACAAATTTGGGACTGGAGTGGAGGTTCAGGGTCATGGTGGAGTGCAGGTCCAGAATCGCTCCAAACACATAGGAATATCGTAGGGTATGTTGATGAAGATGTAACTGTGACTTTCAACAAACATTCAATGCTGATGAATCAATCGGTGTAATTTAAAACACATACCCCAGGAAGATTCACATGCAGTGAATGTTTGGTGAATGTCAAGTTCACTGCTTTATAAATATGTTGAAAACTTGTCAATTTATATTAGATAAATCCTACTTAAACAGACTTGCTGATGCTCTGGACTTACTTTTTTCCACTGACATTAACAATGGGGCACCATTCCACCAACTGACAACAACGAGGCACTATTTTTCTTACCAATATCAATGATGGGGCACTATTCCTCCTACTGACCGCAGCTGCTGTGCAATTGTTTTTTTTTATTTCCACTGACCACCAAGCCTGCATCATTGTTTACTCCTACTGATGCTGGGGCATTTTTAATTCCCACTCGTCCTCCCATCATAGCTTATCCCCCCTAATTTCTGAAGGAGAGTAAACTGGCCCAGTGTTTAGAAAATTGGAGACTCCTGTCTTAGCGCAACTTTCTAAACAAAGGGCTAGTTTACTGTCTTCAGATTTTAAGGGGGCTGGACTGTGGCCACTGGAAGTAGAAAATGCCCCATAGTCAGTGTAAACAATGCCTCAGGCTTGGTGGTCAGTGAGAGTAAAAAAATTCATAGTACCAGTAGAAGGAGGAATATTGCTCCATTATTGGTATTAGTGGGAGGAATCATGCCCCATTCTTGTGTCAGTGGGAGGAATTATACCCTACTGTTGGTGTCTGTGTTATTCAATAATGGTGCCTTATCGTTGTTGTCAGTGGGATGAATAGTGCCTCCTATCAGGGAGGAATAGTGCCTCTAGGGCCAGATAAAGGCAATCAAAAGGGCCACATTCTAAAAAGCTGCAATTGGTTTAGAGAGCACTGGTTTGGAGTACACAATTAGCAAGCATCCTATCTTTCTCTGCTGTGTTTAATGGACTCTGTTACTAATTCCAGCCATAAAAATTTACTTATTCAATCACCTATAACAATGTGTATCAATCTGCTCTGTCATCAAAATGAAATAAATCACAAAATAAATAATTGTGTATACAAAACTGGATGCAAAAACTAAAACACTAATAGGTCTTTCACACAACCCAATACATAATTCAATCAGAAAATAGTGCAGCACAACTAAAAATAAATAATTCAACCCAAAGTGAAATTATATTAAAATCAAAACAAATACGCAAAAAAAAATTTTTAATTAAATGTCCATCAGTTCCGGTATCAGTAACTGCCCAATCACCAATTAGTGATTCCTTGTAATCACTAATATGTGAAAGCCACTTCCACCAGAAAAATTGGCCGCTCACCTCTAAGAATTGACTCCTGAACCAACAGGTAGTCAAATGCGCTTTCTCTTTAAGGGCATATGGAGACTCCAGATCTTAATCTTCCACGTTTTAATAAAGTCTCAGCAGTATAAATCCATCATAAAAGAACAAGAAAACAGCTCATAGCGTTCTCCATATAGAAAATGATTTAATCTAAAAGTAGGAATACACTTACAATATAGGGCACTCCACTGAGCAGGTTTACAAACATAGAAAACCACATTGCCACAGTCTGACAAGATGGCCGCAGGATGACGTCACATGCGTAGCTCCACCCACCTACACATGTTATGTCC